AACTGTTATTGAGGAAAGAAGGCATACGTTAACGCCACTGTGTTCGTGGTTTGAAAAACAATATTGGTAAGACACCATTTAAATGATTTATAGATCTATAGATTTAATGCACTCCAATCAAAATCGCAGCAGGTCTTCTGTGGACATTTACAAGCTTATTCTAAAACGTTCCGTTCTTGAAGAAGAGCACAGCTGGAGGACATACTCCATCAGACACAAAGGCCTGGTAGAAAGCCCCAGGGATGGAGCTGCGCCCACGGCAGAAGGTGGACACGCAGATTCATGGACAGAGTAGGAAGTGAAGAAGCAGACCGCACAGATGCAAACAATAGATCCATGGCCAAAGCAGCTTGCAGAGAGAGGAGGAGAGGGTGATATTTTGAGTAAACGGGGCTGGGTCCTTCATTTGGATATCATTCATTTGGATTCCTTGACTGCAGGCTCGATCCCCGGCCGTGGGAAAGGAAGCTGGACTGCTACCTCACACGACACATGAAAACCAATTCCAGCCAGGGGATTGTCAAGGGCGGGGGGCAAAAGGAGACATATGTAATACCCTTTGTAATACTTTAAGCAATAAAACAATTAAAAAAAAAAAAGAAAACCAATTCCAAGGAATTTCAAGTGGACTGTTGACTTAGATATCTAAAGCCAAACCATAAAGCTTCCAAAACGAAACCTGCGAGGATATCTTCATGACCTTGAGGTAGGCTAAGGTATTTTTTAAAGGACTGATGGTTGGTCAATAGTGTAATGGCAGTTTCTGTACCCCCAGGAGGCCACCTGGAGGTGCAGAAAGGCTGGGCGGCAGGTGGCTGGGGGGGCGGGGGGTGTTTCTGAAGCAGTGCCTTCCAGACTATGGTCAAATGTTCTGAAAATTAACAGAAAGGGTCAGCATCCAATTGAAAAGGGCATTTGAATGGGAGGATCATGATGGCCGGTCAGTTCACAGGATTAAGCTCCATGGCACAGGCCCTCAGGGAAATGCAAGTTAAAAACCACAGATGAATAGCCCTAGCTGGTTTGGCTCAGTGGTTATAGTGTCGGTCCTTGGGCCAAACGGTTGTGGGTTCGATTCCAGGTCAAGGGCATGTACCTCAGTTGCAGGTTCCCCAGTCTTGGTAGGGGCACATGCGGGAGGCAGCCAATTGATGTATCTCATTCACATCAGTATTTCTCTCTCTCTCCCCCTCCTCCCTCCCTTCCACTCTCTCCAAAAATCAATGGAAAAAATATCCTCGGGTGAAGATTAACAAAAATACACCAAAACAAACCCACAGGTGGTTATTTAGCACTGGCACAATGGCCATAAGGGAAACTAAGCAAGGACACCAAGCTGGCAAGGGTGTGGGGCCTCCCTAGGGAAGCAGGTAACTGGCTCAACCCCTCCCGCAGGCCATGGCAGCATCCTCTCCAGCTGGGCACGGGCACACGGAGGAGAAGCGGTTCTACCGGGAATACGACACGAGTGTGCCAGAGACAAGGACAGATTTCACACAGGCTTTCGTGATAGTGGCACACACTGGCTGCTGCCCGAAGCGGCAGAACAATCCTTGAGCTGTGGCAGGTCACCCCAGGGGCCCCACACACGCACACGCACACGCACACGCACACGCATACGTATTTATAGAACTACAGACCAATGAGAAAGCTGTGAGCGTTTACCTCCAGTGTTCTCCACTGAGCATGTTTTTCTTTTGTAATACGATCCTGGCACGTCAGGCGTGGCTGAGGAGACAGTATGAGGAGGTGGCCTCAGGCTGCGGGTGCCATCAGATGGGTGTGCCTCCTGAGAAGATCCTCACCATGAGACCCACTCTGTGTCTTCATCGTGGACAAACGTAACTTTCCACAATTGACTCCAATTACCTCTCTGGTTTGGCAGCTAACAGAGTTTATTAAGGGACAGTTACATAGAAGGCATGTCTTGTGGACATCCTCCACACTGCTTGGCAGGTGCCAAAGAAATACAAAGAACAGGCAGGGTGGGCAGGATAAGGGTATGTGACCCATCCCAGGTACGGGACCATCCTCACACGCTTGGCTGGGTCAGGACCACGGCCGGTCCAGAGCCGAAGAAAAGCCTCGACTGCTGTCGTCTCTGAGGGTTTGGGGACCAGTCTCTGTCCTGGCGCACGTCTGGCTGGCAGGCCAGCCACGTCATGGAGCACTCTCTCCTCCTCAGGACAGAGGCGTCTGTTCCCTGCCTGCCTGGACCTGCCATCCAGGCAGGGCACCACCAGCCTCCAGCTGCAGGAGCCATCCCTGGGTCCCTATCATCTGAGTATTTCTGAGGCCTCAGACACTGTCTGAGGGGCGTTATCAGTGAACAAACAGGAGTCAGAGACACTCCTCCCCACCCCCACCCCCTGCCGGGCCCTCCCCCCCTTCCCCCAATGTCCCCCTCCCCCATGGCCCTCACATCCCCATAGGGAAGAGAGACTGTAAGCAATTAGCCAAGTAACTGAGTCACCTTCACAGCATGTTTGAAGGAAAAGCAGAGTTCAGTGGAGTAGGGAGCGGGGGTCAGGCTCCGTGTTAAGGGGGTGACCAGGGTGGCCCTCTGGTGGCTACACCATGACTTGAAGGTGGGAGGGAGGACTGGCAGACACCATGGGAAGACAGCTCCAGGCAGGGGAGGCAGGCGTGGGCCTGGGGTGCAAGGAGGGGCCTCCAAAGGGGGTTAAGGGTCCTGGCAGGTCAGATGCCAGCCCCCGGGCCTTCCCCTTGGAGAAACAGGATGGGGGGTTCTGAGCAGGAGGGACAGGGGATGCCATGCCCTCAGCAGGCTTCGAGAACGCCCTGCTCCGTCTCCTGCCCGGCACATCTCCCTTTCTCTTTCCCTCTCCTGTGAGCCCCGCACCCCGAATCTGGCCCCGCATATCAGAATGCTCAGACCACAGGGGCTGCTTGCAGCCCCATGAGCCCTCGGCGCCACCACAGAGGCGCCTGCCTCCTCAGCACTCCACTTGGACCCCCACCCAGACCTGTGGAGGACCCAAGCGCCTCTGGAACCTGGACTGAGTCGGTCCCTGGCAGCAGCCGCCTTCATCCGTGTCAGGAAGATCCCGAGACCCCAGCTGCTCAGGGTCAGAACTTGGCACCTGGCCTTCAGTCTGCCAGGCGCCATTTCCGAATATTTCCTAGGAAAACTGCCGTGGAGTTGGGTGTACATCGTGTCTCACAGCCTAGGAAGGGGCCTCGGGGCCCTCGAGCGGTGGGGCTGGGGCTCGGGGAGGCTGCAGTTCTAGGAATGTGGGTCCAAGTCCAGTTCCTGCACTCAGGCTTCCTCTGCCAGGCTTCCAGAGGGAGTGGCTGAAGGACCCACTGGTGAAACTAGACACTCACCCTGCCACGCAGCACCCGGCTCCATGCCTGTCTCCTGTGGGGGCTCACACTGGACATGTCTAGGACAGAACCCCACCTTACCCCACCCCCAGCTCCTCCCACTAGCTGGCCCTCAGGGTCCAGACGGCCCTCTCCCAGCCCCACCCCTGGCCTGGCCGGCCTGGCGCACTCTCTCCTGCTCCTCTGCCTCTGTCACTCTGCAGCTGGCCCTGCCCTCTAGCCTGCCCCTGTCAGGAGCCAGATGTCCCTGAGAGCAAACCGCATGGATCTCTTCCTTCCGGCCTCCACCCTTCCCCAGTCTCCCCCCCTTCATGGGGTCAAAGGTCAGGCTCCTAAACTCATTTCTGCCTAGTGATCCCCACCTGCCTTCCTGGATTGTTTGGTAAACTCGGTGTGAACCAGTCAAGTGGGGTCAGGGCACCGGTGCCTGGCCTCCCAGCCGTTACCATCCAGTGGCGAGGACCACGGATGATAGATACAGAGGCAGAACGACACATCCATCCTTCTAGGAAGGCCGCCGGGGGTGAGGGTGGGGTGGGAGGTCAGCAGGCACAGACCGGCAGGAAGGGCTCGCAGAGCACTGACCAGAAGGCTGGACACAGGCTGGTGGGAAAGCCGTCCCTGAGGGAAAGGCCCAGCCGAGGGATGACCGTTGGATGGTCACTAGCCCCAGGGAAGGTTCTGTGGGGGAGGGGGCACTCACTGAGCTCAGGATCTCAGGTGGGGGTGTGGGGGCCAGAGCTTGGAGGCGCACCCCCACCCCACTCCCTGAACTGGAAACTGCACTCAAAAGCCCTGGCTTTGGCCCGGCCGGTGTGGTTCAGTTGGTTGAGTAGTGTCCTGTGCACCCAAACGTTGCCGGTTCCATTCCTGGTCAGGGCACGTGCCCAGGTTTGGGGCTTGATCCCCAGTTGGGGGCGTGCAGGAGGCAGCTGGTCAGTTGGTGGAAGGACAGAAGCCCTGCGCTGGTGGAGAGGCCTGGAGGCTGCTCAGCACCTGGGTGACAGTGCACTCCCGGAGCCCAGGGAGAGCGCATGGGAAGAAGCATGAGGGGCCGCATCCGTAGGGCTCTGGCACCCGGCTCTCAGAGTAGCTATTCCGAGCCAAGTGTGACCAGGGCAGTGGGCTGTTCCCAGGGTCCAGGGCTCCAACTCATGCTTCGGGACTGGGGGGGTGGGGGGAGGTACCCCAGCACCCAGCCTGTTGGCAGAGAGAGCTGGGGAGAGAGGAACCCTCTGGCATCCTCCTGCAGGTGGGAGTATGTGACTGGTGGGGGGTAGGGGGGCTTCAAAGATCCAGGCAGGGCCATGGATGGGGCCTTTGTGCCCTGGGTTCCTCCTCCCTGGGAGCCTGGCTATCGGAGCCCATGTGGGGGTGGGGGTGGCTCCTCTGTGCCCGTGACTCTGTGTTTGCACAGGGGGAGGGGCTGGCCGGTGCCAGCTGAGAGCCTCAAAGGGTCGGCCAGCGCCTCTGCAGATAAGGCATTAACAGTCCTGTGGACTCACCCTTCGGATCTGCTGACGCTTCCTTTCAGCCTAGGTGCTTGGGGTGAGGTGCCAAAGGTTCCCTATAAAGTGCTGGGGCTCCGGCTGTGTCCACTCGACCTCCAGCTCCTGCCCTGTCCTGACGAGAGGGACCCACCTGTGATCACCATGAGGCTTGTTCTGCCCAACCCGGGCCTGGACGACCGAATCCCCTCCCTGGAGCAACTGGAGGTCATCGAGAAGGAGGAGGCCAGCTCGCGGCCCAAGTGGGACAACAAGGCCCAGTACATGCTCACCTGCGTGGGCTTCTGCGTGGGCCTGGGCAACGTCTGGCGCTTCCCCTACTTGTGCCAGAGCCATGGCGGAGGTAGGCCGGGCAGGAGGGCAGGTTGGGGGTCCAGGCAAACAACACTGATGTCCCCAGGACCCCAGCACCCCATTCATAGAGGGGAGAAGTCTGCAGGGCCAAGGGCTGTGGGCAGGACAGCACAGGCTTGTGCCCTCCACCCCTTCGCTGGTCCGCTTGAGCCTCACGTTGGCGCCGAGAGCAGGCTGGGCAGAGGGCCGGGCTGGAGCATGGACCCAGGTGCCTACATCTTCACTCCACTCCCGTTCGCCCGAGTTGGCAAGGGAGGTCCAGTGCCCGGTCCCACATGCCCAAGTGTTTGTGTCAGTGGAGGCCACCCTTGCTCCAGGACCCAGGAGCCCTGACCTGCTCCCAGAGATCAGGCCTGACCTGCGAGTAGGGGGACAGAGAGGGACCAGCTGCTCCTCTGGGTGGAGCCCCTTCTGTGAGGGTGGATGGTGCCAGCAGGAGGGACAGTAAGGCCAGCCCTCCTTTGAAATACCTTATGGCATTTCATATGAGGGGCAGAGGAGGGAGTGGGTGACCCACAAAGGAACAGGCAGGCAGGCTCCTGATCAGCGTGCACACGGGCCAGAGGTGGGAAGGCTGCATCCCCCACGGAACGCTGCCTCAGCCGGTCCTGCTGCCTCCAGACGTCTCCGGGGCCTTGCCCAAGGCCCAGGGGTCTCCTTCCCCTGGGCTGAGGCTACTCCCTCTTCCCCAGCTGCAGAGACTGCCTTGGGTCTGCTGGGTCTCAGTCCCCATGATTTTGTCCTTCCACCCACCCTCCCAGTGTCAACAGGCTTCAGGGACAGAGATCACACCTGTGGTCCCATCAGCCCCCATGCACCTGTGGCTTCTGTCTCCCCTGGGCCCCAGCCCTGGGAGGGGAGCTGCTGCCAGGAGCTCCGTGGGCGGAAGGGGAACAGAGCTGTGCTTGTTCTGGGAGGAGGTCTGGGCAGGTGCTGCGCTCCCCGTGAGACAGGCGCTGCAGAGCTGGCTGGACGCTCTGAGGATGCGTCTGCTTCTGTGGGCTGTTGAATACCCTCCTCTAAAAGCACAAACCCTCTCTAGTGATGTGAGTTTGTTCTTACTCTGAAGAACCTGCAGGCTCTCGCCAGGCTTTGTGGCAGAAAGGAAAGCAGATGGGGTTGTTCCCAGGCCACCGTTGTGACCCACCCCCCTTTCCATGGCCAAAACGGAAGCTTCTGAATGTCGGGGAGGATCTGTCTTTACACCTGGGGCCCATCCTGTGCTTTCCAGATAGTCCTGTCGGTCACCTCTGCGCGGTGGAGGGGTGAATGGAACCCTGGGAGTCCGTGAGGGGCCCAGCAGTAGAATCACTGAGTCCCAGAGGTCAGCTACCTCTTCCCTCTGGAAGGTCCTGGTCATTTCCCCACCCCCACCAGGGCTGCCCTGGGCCAGGGTTCTGGCAACACCTGCAGCATTTACTTAGTTCCAAAAGGAAGGGACTAAGCGGGGAGGGGGACCTGGGACTGAGAAGCGTTCACCCCTGGGGTGCAGCACACACTCACTGTGAGCCTGAGGGGTAATGCGGGGACACTGCCTCCAGACACTGTGGATGAGAGGGAGCTGTCCCCCATCACCCTGGGTCCTGCTGAGTGGACAGACAACCATTGAGGACAGTGATAACCCCCCAAGCTCAGGAGACAATTGTTGAGGACAGTGACAACCCCCCAAGCTCAGGAGACAATTGTTGAGGGCAGTGATAAGAAGCCGACACCAGGAGAAAATTGCCGAGGACAATGACAAGGTGTGGCAGGTGACTCCTCCCCGGTGGCATTTCCCACGCCTGTAAGCCCAGATCTCGGGGAGGGAGTGGTTGGGTAACTTGGAGAGAAAAATGACGCATCTGAGGACTCTAAGACCAGTCCTGGTTTGGTGAAAACTTAGTTTGCTTTCAATTATTTCTAAGAGTTTGGGGTAATTTGAAAAGTAAAACAAATCATCATTTGCTTTGTGTTTAACTTTATATTATGAAGAAAAAAAAGGCAGAAAAGTAGAGAAAGCTACAGAGAAGACCCCTGCCCCCATGACCTAGATCAGCATCTGCAGCACTTTGCCATGTTGAGTGGGGTGGTGGCCGCGTGCGAGTGCGTGCGCACACAAAGCCCCTGCGTGCTGCGTGACATTGAGAAGCGTTGTCACAAGAGGGCCCCACCTTCTAGATCTCGGATGGGGGCATCTCTGTGACCAAAGGGCAGGTGAATGGGGCACCAGGTGGGCCGTGTCCTCTGCCTGCATCACCTCAGCTGCCTCACCCTAGTTCTCTTTTCTCTGTCTTGTGCGTCTGCCGTCAGCAAACAGCGGGGTGGAGTCACCTCTGTAGAGTCCGTCTTGCCACCAGTCAGAGGAAATGGGCACGTGTCATGTGTCTCTCGATGGGTCAGTCAGGACTGAATCGGGTGGCAGGGGCAGCCCGGGTGAGGGACCAGCGCCTCTCCTCATTCAGCCTTCAGGGAACAGAGAGAGGAGCTGGGGGACCCACGGCCCCTGTGTGGGCGCTGGGGCAGGTGGGCTCACAGGCCCTTTTCTGAAGACGGGTATTTCAAAGGTTTCAGAAGTCAGCCCTGAGTTGAGTTGATATCACCATCTGTGTCCTGGCCCTGTTTACTCTGCTGTGTACCTTCTGGGCCGTGGGGCTCACCCCATGAAATGGAAGGTGCTGGAGAGCTCTGATCCAAGGGCTGCACCACAGAGCTACTCTGTCAAGCTTTGCAGACCTAGAAGTGGGGGGCACGCAGGAGATTGAAACCAGGAGACTTGGTCAGAGTCAAGACTCACCCTGCTCCCTGCGTTGGCCACAAACAGCTGGGTCCCGGTGACCAGATGGTCAACCGTCAAGAATTCTGCACCAGCACCAGGCCCAGGAGTGTGTCCAGGGAATTGCATTCACCACACATCTGCCCACAACCTCAGTTCTCCATGTGAATGCACCACATGCCTGCCCCAGTGCTGCCACCTGACACATGGTGTTCCCCTCACCCCTTCTTAGGGACAGAGAGCTTAGGAGAGTTGGTGTATTGGGGGTGGGGGGGTTAGGAAGCAACGCCGCCCAAGGACCATGCTGTCTGCTCACCACTGGGCCGTCCATGTGCCTCTGCAGCCTGGTCCCTGGGACGGCCTTTCACCACTGGTCCTGGCGCTGCACCCGGTCAGTACATAGTCCTGGAGCTTTTCCTCTGTGCCACGCACCACCTGCAGGGGAGATGTGGGAAAGCCTTAGACCAGCGGTTCTCAACCTGTGGGTCGCGACCCCTTTGGCGGTCGAAAGACCCTTTCACAGGGGTCACCTAAGACCATCCTGCATATCAGATATTTACATTATGATTCATAACAGTAGCAACATTACAGTTATGAAGTAGCAACGAAAATAATTTTATGGTTGGGTCACAGCATGAGGAACTGTATTTAAAGGGCCAGAAGGTTGAGAACCACTGCC